TTACCCGGCCAGAATATAATTTACATTGCTGGAATTCTTACAATTTGATGATCATTTTGAATATAAACATCATATATTTTGCATTAGACATAAAATTTTTAGATATAATGTTTACTCTGAGTAAATATGTTGTTATCTTTTGTGCAAATATATGACATTTATATTCAAAATATTCCTGGTCTTACAAAGGGAATCCGGCAATGTCAATTGCTGTTATCCACAAACTTTAGTTTGAAATTATTTATTAAAATTTAGTGGTTTTCCCCCCAAAATTTCTCAGAGGGAAGAGCCAGTGAGTGTAGTGTGAGAAGAGGGGGAGGGAGTTGAGTCCATTATTTGAATGGACATTAACTTGGCGACTGTATTTCTCTATTTCTCTTAAGTATTAATTGTGTGCATGTACCATCATAAAATTAAGATGTTATTTTTACTAGAACATAGGTATTGTGTGGGAAAAAGTGGAGTTTGGGGATCGGGCCAGTTTCTATTGGAATTAATCCCATATGTTCTGTTTTACATTCCACTTAAGCGCGGTTTCACTTAACACAGTACCCTGTGGGTTTTTTTATTGACGCGTTAAAAGCGAAATACTACTATATATATATATATATATATATATATATATATATATATATATATATATATATATATATATATATATATATATATATATATATATATATATATATATATATATATATATATATATATATATATATATATATATATATATATATATATATATATATATATATATATATATACATACATACATATACAGTCTACGCGGAAGGTTAAGGCACACCGTGGGAAAAAAATAAAAAAGTCATGTTAAGGCAATAAAAAAATGAAAATAACACTCACCCACCCCTCTTAGTATTTTGTTGTGTTTCCCTTCCTCTTCAGCACCTCTTTCAGTCGTTGTGGAACACTCTCTGCAAGGTTTTGCAGGTGCTGTGGGGTGAAATTGGCCCACAGTTGCTTAATTGCTGTGGTGGGCAGGAACGGACGGTGTAGAGTCCGTGGCGGGTTCTCAATAGGGTTGATGTCGAGTGCCAGGCCCTTAAAATATGAAACCTGGCAATCCTCCAACCACTGAGTAACCGACTTGGCTGTGTGGCAGGGGCACCGTCCTGCATGAACACGACAGGCGTGTTTTCTCAAAGCAGGTCAGGCAGAAGGTCACAAAAGCTCAGTACACACCCTGGTTAACTTTAATGTTTTTTCAAGCACAACCAACTTGACCGTCTTGACGGTGTACCTGGGGTCGAGCGGGTCAGAGTCTGGCCGGCGGTACACCCTATCGTGACCACAACCACTCACTGTAAACGTGGCTTCATCACTCCACAGGACGTTCCTCCAATCCTGAAGGGACCAGACACTGTACTTCTTCTTCTTCTGGGCAGCAGTCAGCAGGGGCTTACGGCGTGGTCGGTAGGCGCGATAACCGAGATCGTCATAAAGAAGCTGCTGCACCGACCTTAAGGAGACGTGACCAAAGAGTCCGGGGTTAGCTTCCTTTAATTCCCGGGCCGTGAGCTTAGGATTAGCATTAACTTGCCTAGCAATCACCTTCCTGGTTCTAGGAGACGTAAGCCGTGGTCGCCCAGACCTGGGTTTAGGGGTAGGCAACTCTTCCTGGCTGTTTGCCTCAAACTCTGAGATGAATCGGTACACTGACCGGCGGCACACACCGGTTAATTCAACTATTTCAGTAACTTTATGATTAGCCTTGTATAAACCAATCACCTGTGCAATATCCTCATGCTTAGTAACTCTCCTGGACATCTTAAAGACCCAGAAATCACACGATAAAGCACTGTAACTTAGTTTTAAGTAACGTTATTTAATGTTAATAAATGGAACAATAGAAGTAGCTAATCACTAATAGCAAAGAAAAAATAGAGATGGATTGGGAACGCCAACATACACTGTACGTGTGCATTTAAGGATACCGCGTCATTTATCTTTTTAAGAATATATACAAAAGATTCATTATTGTTTGTTACTGAATATGTATTTGTTTGAATTAATATTTATATATGCGAAATGAACAATACAATTTGTTAATAATATGTAGAATATTAAAACACACAAGAGGAAAAGAGACGACATTATTGTCAGTGTTTACACCCAATTTATACGTGCGCACTCAAGGAAACAGTCATTTATCTTAAGAATATGTACAAAAGATTCAATATTGTTTATTACTGAATATGTATTTGATTGAATTGATGTTTATGCATGTGAAATGAACAATGTAATTCATTAATAATACGTAGAATATTAAAACACACACGAGGAGACAAGACGGCATTGTTTTCGTGAGTGACGATGGTTCTACATAAGAAACTGAAGAAAATAAGACCCTGGTTGTAGCTGTAGTGAACTTAATTTTAAAAAATTGAATACCTGTATGTATGTTTTAAGTAATGTTATTTAATGTTAATAAATGGAACACTGGAAGTAGCTACCGGTAACCCCTAATGGCAAAGAAATATAGTGAGACGATTGGGAACGCCATCGTATGAACAGTAAGTGTGTACATGTGAAAACATATCGTCATTTCTCTACATATGAATATGAAAGCAACACTTATTTACTGTTCATATATGTTTTAAATAATATTTATGAATGTAAAACAAAAATTCTACGCGCCAGTGGTGGTAAAGTCTAAAACATAAGGACAGCCAATGAATATTGTGCGAGTTTTTACTCAGATGACGAAGTCATAAGGTTCAACATGGCCGAAGCTGTAGCTTTCCATAAAACTGTTGCTGAAACTGTTACTGAACCTGAAGTTGATGTTGAAGCTTCTTATGATGCTGAATTTGATGGTGTAGCTGAAGTTGATGGTTTAGGCCTTCGAATAATAAAGCTGTCGAAAGAACCTTGCACAGCTGCTTTCTTTTCTCATTATACATCTTTATGTAGAGGTCATTTGCATTTATTTAAATTTTAATGCTTTGTTCTGTTAATGGATCCACTTCAGAAAATTTTTTATTGCTTGCTCCATATAATATCCACAGACCTCTCACCTATTTCATATCGTTTTAACACTTCTAGTTTCTCGGCTAATCTTGTACACTTTATATTGGTTTTGAAACAACACTACCATCACTTACTCTCTTGCTCATGTTGAATAGGGATGCAAAAATGCTGTATGAAACTTGAGAAAGTTTTTCTCCCTGTTCCAGATGCGTGAAAACGAAAGGCCCGCCAAGCTCCGACTGTTGTTTACCACTCATTAGCCAGGCAGCTTCTTTGCGCAAGGAGCTCTTCATTTTCTTTACAGTAATTTTTATTTTTTTTTTATAATTCATATCGGGATTTAGTTATTATTTATATGAAAATGTAATTTTATTTAAAAAAAAAATTCCACAAAATATCCTTGTAAATTAGGGGTGTCGTCTTATGCGGTGATGCGTCTTATATGCCTGCAAATACGGTAATTATTTTATAAAAATTATGTAAAATCCAAGTAAGATATACTGTACACTGTAGTGTGCTGATGTTGCTATATTTATAGCACATATAGCATAAAGTATGGTATACAGATTGTCGTTAGTACTAACTTATTTTAATTTTACTTACTTTTATACTCTTCACCACTGATCGGCTCGTTAGCCTCTTGGGCGATCGGTCACGTCTCTGTTACGCACTGTTGGCAAGTACTGGGCATGCACCGGTTCCTGAATATACCTGAACCTGCTCCAGTGTTGGACAAGTCTGTTCTTGAAAGAGCTCACACTCGGTGCCGTCACAACACTTTCAGGCAGATTGTTCCAAGAGTTCACAACTCTCACTCTGAAAAAGTTACCCCTCACAGTTTTCTGTACCTGCGGCTTCTTCAATCTTGAGCTGTGACCCCTTGTGGGGCGAGCGTCTGCCCGCTCCAAGTAAGGACTCTCGACTGAGTAGTGCCCCTTGAGATGCTTGTACACCTCAATTAGGTCACTCCTTGCTCGTCTGTAGTATAAGCTAGGCTAGTTCAGGCGCTCCAATCTCTCAGGGTAGTTGAGGTGCCGAAGTGCAGACACCAGTCTGGTGGCCCTCCTTTGAACATTTTCAACCAACTGACAGTCGCTAGCATATCTCGGGGACCAGACGGGGTGACAGTACTCCAGATGGGGAAGCACCTCTCTCTTGAAGATCGTTATGAGGGAACGATCGTCTAGATATCTGAATGACCTTCTTATAAGACCTTATAATTTATTTGCCTGATTGTTCCAAAAACTTTAGCTCATTGTCAACATACACACCTAGGTCCTTCTCACATTTAGTCTCAAATAGTGCAGTTTCTTCAACCTGTTGGGACATATGATACGCCTCCTTACCGTTGGTATGCCCCAGGTGCTTCTTTTTACACTTCGTGACATTGAATCTCAGCAGCCATTTCTTTGACCATTCTTGGAGCTCACAGAGATCCTTCAGCAGCTCTTCACAGTCTGCTTGGTTCTTGATTTCCCGAAATAACTTGGCGTCATCTGCAAACTTTTGTATGGAGGAGTGTACCACTTCAGGCATGTCATTTATGAAACAAACAAACAAACAACAGCGGGCCCAATACACTGCACTGTGGTACCCCGCTTGTGACAGGTACAGATGATGATTTCGTGCCATTAATCACCACACACTGCTTGCGGTCATGTAGAAAGTCTTCTATCCACGCAAGGACATTTACTCGAATTCCGTACCCTTCCAGTTTGATTTTCAGCCTTTCATGGGGTACAGTGTTGAAAGCCTTGGCAAAATATAGGTACTATATTGTTGATATTACCACCCTGTTCCAGAATATGGGTCCAAATAATGACTGCTCATATGTCTTGATACAGAAAGCTAACATCCAGTATTGTGTTCTGCACATCACATGGACATGCAACCCCTAGAGAAGTGACTGACATGATGGCTCTGCACACACACACACTAAAAAGTTAACCCACATTTTTTGGCCGGCTTTAGAGCATTACAACCATGCTTTGTTATATTTTTTTTTTCAGGAGCAGTTGCTTTGACAGTAGAACTGCCATCAGTAGCATGAAGGTTTCATCACCAATCAGCAATTGCACTGCTCCCAGCCATCCAGTTGAAGACAAACTCCTACAAGAAGTACAAACGTTCATGTTGGCTTCTCACCTGTTTTGGGCTCTGTGGTCTATTGTGCAGGGACAAGTCTCAAGCATTCCCTTTGGCTATATGGTAAGTGCTGCAACAACTATTGTGATAAATATTAAGAATTTTTAGGTGTCAGATGGGCATGGTTTTAAGGATTGCCTGCATTTACAGAAGTATTGTAGGAATAGTAAAGCCTTGCTAAGGCGGACTAATTGGGGGAGAAGGAGAGTCCAGGATAAGATGCCCACCTTAGAATAAATTTTTCCAAAAAGATGCCATTTTAAACAAAAAATGAGTACAACACCAATGTATCCAATTTTAACAAAATAAATAAATGGTTTTAAATCAAAATTAATTTGAAAAATTAATGTCCACAAAGTACTGTACACCTACCTGTAGTTCACTGATAAGGTTTTAGGCTTAACCTTCTCACCACCCTTACAGGTACCAAACACTTTCTTAGGGGGCCATGGTTATTGTTCAGTTTTTTCAATAATACAGTTAACCCTCACTTTACGCGGTCCCGCATTCCGCGTTTCCACGTTTACGCGGTGCCTTGCCAGAACCTCACGTGCTCACATTACGCGGTACGTGAACCCCATTACGTGGAGAGTGTCCGGCGCGACGCTATTTTTAGATTCGCCCCACCCGCCACCCGCCCGCCTGCCTGCCTGCCTCTCCCTCCTCCTCCCTCCGCTTGGGCAAGCGGCGCGGTAAGGTTGCGCAGTGTGTGTCTTTGTTGCGTTATCACTGACGTCATATGACGTATCAGACCTGTGATTGGCCATGCATCCCTACCCCCCTCTGCTGCTAGCTGTAATTGGCTTAAAGTATTATGACGTGTCCACCCGGAGGAGGGAGGGAGGGAGGAAAGACGACGCTTGACCTAGCCGCGGCAGTTTCATCCCTCAAGGCCACTCCGTGTAAACACGCATCCATTGTTCCGTAAAATGGCTTCCGCCGGACCACCACCCCCAGAGAGAAACCTTTCCTTACCTGGACCCAGCGGCACTAAACCAAAGAAGACACGACGTTCCTTAAGCTACGAGGTGAAGTATAGCATCATCCAAGAGTTGGAGAAAGGAACAAGGCAGGTTGATTTGGCGCGCCAGCATGGCGTGAACGAATCTACGATCCGGACTATAAAGAAGGATTCAGCCAAGATAAAGGAGCACATGAAGATCACAAAGTCTACAGGTGCTTCTATGATCAAGTATTTTCACAACCAGGTGCTTCTCAAGACAGAAAAATTACTTGTGAGGTACTTGGTGCGTCAGGCGCGACGGAACATGGCGGTCGACACGCGCTCTGTTAAGGACTACGCACTTGAACTGTACATGGCAGTGGCACGAAAGATGGGAACTTCAGAGCCCAAACCCTTTAATGCTTCCTCTGGGTAGTTACAGAGGTTTAAGATCCGGAACAAGATCACCAATATAAACATTGGTGGTGAAGAAGCGAGTGCTGATCGTGCTGCGGCTCGGGAATTTCCTCCGTTTTTACGTGAGATTATGGAGGAAGGACAGTACAGTGACGACCAGGTGTTTAACATGGACGAATCTGGTCTTTTCTGGAAAAACTACCTTCCAAGTCCTTCGTTGTGAAGAATGCCAGCAGGATTCGGGGCCGGAAAATGCAGAAGGAACGCATCACCGTCCTGTTTACCACCAATGCCTCCGGTACCTGTAAGCTCAAGTTATCGGTGATTCACACAGCCCGCAAGCCGCACGCCTACAAGAGCATGGACATGACCAAGCTAAATGTCCACTGGCTGACCGCACGTAAGGCATGGATGTTCTCTACACTGTCCCTCTCCTGGTTTGATGACTGTTTTGTTCCCGATGCAAAGAAATTCTGTGAGCGACAGAATGTCCCATTTAATATTTTGTTGCTGCTGGACAACGCACCAGGACACTCGCCCCTACTGTTAGATCGTCACCCCAACGTAAAAGTGGTCTTCCTTCCTCCCAACACTACGTCTTTAATCCAGCCCATGGACCAGGAGTTGATTTGCAATGTGAAAGCTGTATTCTCAACAAAAAAATTCCAGCTCCTGAACGACTACACCAACACCAGGGAAGAGTTGCGTAACCTGAGTGACACCACCACCGATAGCAAGAGCGAAGATGAGGATCAACAGTTAGAACAGCAAAAAATACTCTTCAAACAATTCTGGAGAGTATTTAACATCAAGAAAGCTGTGGACTTCTTGGTGGAGTCATGGGATCAGCTGTCTATTGCTACAATTCGTCACGCATGGAGACATGTGTTGCATGGAATACCAGGTGACAGGAGGAGTCAATCTGTGACTGGTGAGGTTCAGAATGTTGCAGTAGCAGTGGACCTTGCCAGAGAAGCTGCGCAGACTGTTACGGTTCCAGGCTTCTCCGAGACCACCAACGACGACATCCTGGAGGTGATCAGAGATCCTGAAGTGACTGCCGACGAGATGTTGGAAGAAGAACACGTCAGTGAAGAGGAGGAAGAAGGTGCGTCATTCTCCCAAGAACACAATTTAAGTCATAGTGATATTAAGGGTGCCATGCAGTGTGCAAAGAAGATGAAGTCCTTCCTTTCCCGCGACAATGACGATGACCGCTATGAAGTCTTCCATACCCGGCTGGTGCAGGCTATGGAGTCGTACATCAAGGTGTATCACGACAACATCAACGCCAGCCGTCAGCAAAGCATAACAGATTTCTTCGCCCGCAACCCACCACAGCCAGCCCAAGCCAGTGATAGTGGCAGTGAAGATGACTTTGAGGGATTTGTCAGGGAAGCCCTGACAACTGTAAGTGACAGTGATGGTGATTCACCTAGTAATGGTGATTCACCTGAGGGCCAGTAATCTGCCCTCTGCCTCGGAACCAGCCTCCATCCCCGTATGCCGACCCATCTCTTCTACTACCGTGAGTGTTACACCTAATTTTTAGTTTTCTAACCTAACCTTTATTTTTCCTATGTTAACCTTTATCTTTCCTAACCTAACCTCTTCTATATTACTTGTTTTTTCATACCATCATAAAGTTAAGATAAAATTTTTACTACAACATAGTTGTGTGTCGTCAAAAAGTGGAGTTTGGGGATCGGCCCGGACTCCATTTCAATTAATCCCATATGTTATGTTATTCACTTTACGCGTTCCTCACTTTACGCGTTCCTCACTTTACGCGGGACCCTCCGGGTAACATTAACCGTGTAAAGTGAGGGTTAACTGTACAGTAGAACCTCAAAAAGCGAATATGAGATAACATATGGAGATAACATTGTTTATCTGAACTGTTTAAAGAAAATCAGTTGTTGTTATGTTATTATTGTGCTTGAACAACTAAGATCTTTAAGTGTACAGTTGTACCCCACTTAACGCGGTCAATTGAACCCAGAGGGTCCCGCGTTAAGTGAAATCCGCGTTAAGTGAACAACAGAACATATGGGATTAATTCCAATAGAAACCGGCCTGACCCCCAAACTCCACTTTTTGAAAGCACATACCTATGTTGTAGTAAAAATAACATCTTAATTTTATGATGGTACATGCACACAATTAATACTTAAGAGAAATACAGTCGCCAAGTTAATGTCCATTCAAATAATGGACTCAACTCCCTCCCTCTCTCACACTACACTCGCTGGCTCTTCCCTCTCAGAGAAATTTTTGGGGGAAAACCACTAAATTTTAATAAATAATACCTCAAACTAAAGTTAGGATAATACAATTGACATTGCTGGATTCCTTGTAAGACCAGGAATATTTTGAATATAAATGTCATATATTTTGCACAAAAGATAACATAGTTAATTTGAGAAAATTTTTTATCTAAAATTTGTATGTCTAATGCAAAAATATGATGTTTATATTCAAAATGATCACCAAATTATAAGAATTCCAGCAATGTAAATTATATTCTGGCCGGGTAATTTGTATGAATTTTATGAGCTAAAACAGGCAGTCAGGCAGGGTGGGGCAAATCTAAAAATAGCGTCGCGAGCCGGACACTCACCGCGTATATGTGGAAAAAATCCGTGTTAAGTGAAAGTTCAGCTCTGGTGAGGCACCGCGTATATGCGAAAACGCGTTAAGTGAAACCGCGTTAGGCGGGGTAATACTGTATAACAAGGTTATTAATAGAATATTACATCAACAATAAAAAAAAAAATTTAAACGGAACTCTCTGGGTTGAAAATCAGACATAAGAGTCTGGTTGTCAACAAGATGATTGTTATTTACTGTAAAGTGTTATATGTAAGTAACCACAGAATTTGTCTTATGAACCGCGGAAAGTGAAAGTTCGGTTCTAGCGAGGCACCGCTTATATGAGGAATCGCGTAAAGTGAAACCGCGTAAAGCGGGGTAATACTGTATACTGTATTATAAAATGTACTACAGTATTGTACACTAATGTACTACAATTTTTATATCTTGAGCAAAATATATGACGTTTATATTCAAATTATTGGCTGTCTTGCAAGGATTCCAGCAATGCAAATTATAATCTCCTAACTTTAGTCTGAGATATTATATAAAATAAACACCTTAAAACATAAAGTTGTCACCAATCTTTTGTCTGGGAACACAAGGAGGGAGGTAGCCAGCGAGCGTGGGAAGAGGGGGGGAGGGCGAGGTGACAGAGTGTGGTGTTTGTTTATTTATTTGAGATAAAATGTGACAGTTGGCGCTGAAGGCCTGCGTGTTTATTTATCATTACTTAAGAGTGACTAAGCTCTTCTCATAATTTGCCACCCAAGCGACCTGGGTGAATATAACTTACATTGCTGGGAATCTTGTAAGATAGTGATTTATTTGAATTCCTGTATAAACAATCTATATTTGCAATAGACATAACAATTTAAGAACCGTAATCATTTAGTACATGTACAGTGCAGGTTTGTTCCATTGTTAACCGAGGGACCACTGTATTGAAGTGTACTTGTACTGTACAATAGTGACTAAATTCACTAGATAACATACACAACTAATGGTTGGTAAAACTTGTCTAGTAAGTGAGTGTCATGTCTGTCAGTATGAGTGGCACGTGTGAGTGCTTGTGTACCCCATCATAGAAGTCTGTTTTCTCTCGCTTCAGGACGCTTGATTCCATTTTCTCTTAATCTTAGAGTGCAGTGCACCAGAGACTTCGTTATTCCTTAGTAATGACACAGAATTTGAAATTGCAACCCCAATTGCAACTGGGGTTGCAATTGGGGTTGCAATTGTTGAGGCAACTAGATATGTCTGATTACAGCAAATGTGTTATTGTCAATTTGTAGGTGAAAGATTTTATCCTCAATAGATGTAGGTTAACATTACACCTGTAGGCAAATGCTTGCTAAAGCCTAAGGAAGGATATTCCTTTAACACTTAATATCTGGCCAGTATGGGAAGGATCATCGTGTCTCCGTCAGGGTGTCGTGGAGTGGTGGTCCAGCAGGCGTCACGGAAGTGTTTTTTTTTGGAGGGGGTGGGGAGCCACGGACGTATATGCGATCGGACGTTGTTCGGTTGGACCTTAACCGGCGCATGACTGTATAGTGTGTATAGTGATGTAAGGTCGATTTTGGGGATTTTTAAGAGTGTTTCTGACTTTATGCATATTTTGGCTTTACTTTGTATGTACTTTTTCTGTGAGTTGGAACCAATTGTGCTTGTTAATCAAGGGACCACTGTATTATTTTCGACTTACAATCTGGATTTGGGTCCCTAACCCCGTCGTAAGCCGGGGAGGAGCTGTATTAAAATAATAATGATAACAATAATAATAATAATAACAACAACAACAACAACACTGCAATAATAATAATAATAATAATAATAATAATAATAATAATAATAACAACAACACTGCATTAATAATAATAATAATAATAATAACAACAACAACAATAACAACACTGCAATAATAATAATAAAGAACCATAAAGAAATAAAATAAAAAAATATCAAGAGTGAGAAAAAAATATATGTATGTTGTGTTGTCAATGTTAAGAGAAACAATTGAGACCCTGCAATTGTGTGTAAATGAGGCAGAAAGTCATATCAGCAACCTGGGACTTGGTCACAATTTTCGTGATGCCATATGGCAGCAGGGTTTACCATTAGACAACACATTATGCTTCCAATATCTTCCCAGGCAGTAGTACAGAGGATCATTCCAATGCAGATGCTTTGTCCAGGTTGCCAAGTTGTGGATCAAATGATGGAGTAGAACCTAAGGTTTATACTGTAACCATGTTAGCAGAAGATTTTCCAGTCACCTCCAGAATGATTGCTCATGAAACTAGGAAAGATGTTGTGTTAGGAAGAGTCCTGGAATATACACTAAATGGATGGCCAGAGATTTGTCCATCCTTAGACCTTCAACCGTATCATTTAAGGAGATGTCAATTATCAGTAGAACAGGGATGTGTGTTGTGGGGTATGAGAGTGTTAATTCCACAGTGTTTTAGAGGGCAAATTTTGAATGAACTGCATTTTGAACATCCAGGTATACTGTATGTGCTATGAAAGCATTGGCCAGAAGTTTTGTATGGTGGTCTAAACTGGATGATGAAATAGAAATGATGGTACGTGAGTGCTCTGCTTGTCAGAATGTTAGGAGTATGCCACCCAGCACACCTTTGAATACCTGGAAATGGCCTACCCGTCCCTTCCAAAGAGTACACATTGACTTCTGTGATAAGGGAACAGACAATTTTCTTGTATTAATTGACTGTACATGCAAAGTGATAACTTGTTTCAATGACAAGGTATGTGGATCTTGGACATATTTAGTGAACTCTTTGAGATATGTTCATGTGGATCACATCATTCAGGCACATGACGAAATGAATGTAGCACCAGAACATGATGATAAACTTGATACATTTGCAGATCATCATGGTGATGAGGTCAAAGATGATGTTTCCCAGCATCCACTCACTGTGTCAGCTGACTGTAGTGATGACACGTCTGTCACTGATAATGCACAGAGTGCAAGTGAAACTCCTGTAAAACTTGATGGCGGGAATATTCCTAGAAGATCAAACAGAATTAGGAGACCTGTAATGAAATTAGACCTCAAATTATCTGAATTGTGAACAGGCCTTTCAAAACTGTTTAGTTAGGAAGTTATATTTGTTGTGTTCTATTCTCTTCTTCCCTGCCATATGTAATTCTGTAAATTTTGTTTATTTAGGATTTGTAGCAGCCATGCTTTCTTTTTGAAAGGGAGAAATAGTGTTATATATGTGTATGTTTATTTGCTGCCTTTATTGATTATATGTACTTGTACATTATATATTATGTTACTTCTTACCAAAGTTAGAATGTGTTTAGGCCTGTGTAATCACGAATGTGTTAGGCACGTGGTACGACAACAACAACAATAAACCACCTGAGTAAGAGTCAGCATGAGGCTTCTCATTCTCCCATTAAATCAAGTAAGATACTACACCAATTAGCCGTTAAAGTGAAGCGTGGCCTATATAGACTTTCTATAAAGTACAGGGAGTATAGTGGTCATGAAAGACCATCAAAATTATCTAAAAATAGTCATGGTAAGAGAGTTAGAATTCTAAAAGGTGAAAATGTGGATACAGTGGTCCCTCGGTTAACGCACACAATTCATTCCAGAAGTTTGTTCGTTAACCAAAAATTTCGTTAACCGAAACCATTGTTTCAATGGGATTTTGGGTAATTGGTTCCAGCTCACCAAAAATATCATACAAAGTAAAAATAAATTCAGTTAAGTACACTTACTTTGAGGTGTGTATGTAGAAAACTCCTGGTTGATGATGATGATTATGGGAATTAGAAGTGGGAGTGGAGGAGAAGGGAGAAGAGAAGGAAGTGGGGGTGGAAGAGAAATCACCCCATGCTTCATGCCGTCATTTCACCCATAAAATTTTAAGTTCACTGGGTGTAATTCAAGATTATTTTCTTTAAATCAACACTGCACTGCAGTATATATTGTCAATATGTAAAATAAATTTCAGAATGACCAATAATTGTACTGTAAAAACGTAAAAATAGTTTATGTTCAAGAGAGTCTCAAGCAAGATGTTACCTCTACGGACCAGAGATACTGTAGTGGATTTCTCCCCTACAAACGCTGTTTGTCGCTGAGTAGCCGACCCCGCGATTTCCTCAGTGTATGCCTCGTGGTCTGGGTCAACCAGCGCCGCCATACATCACAGAGGTCAACTACTAAGCCACGCCTACCCCCGCTATTTAAGACCTGACCTCGTGGTGACCTCTCTCTTTTCTACCTACACCAACCAGCAAGCAACACCACCTCCTCCGCTTCTGCCTGGCGGCCCTCGCTCCCGCCGGCGAACATGGCGACCCACAAGCTGGTCCTCCTCTGAGCATCCTCACCAACCAGCTCTCTCTCTACATCACACTTGTAACCACGCTGCCACTTCCCAGCACCAAGCTGCATTGTACATCCAATACAACATGTATACAGAGAGCACATTGTGAGTTTCCTTTCTCCATCCCATCCTGAGTACGAACCAAACAACCGGTTCCCCACAATATAAACTGACGCCTGTTTGGTGAGTTGAGTGGCTGTTTGGCGCACTAAAAACTAGTTTCCTGTACTTCAATTATGTTAAATAATTGTTAAAATTACTAAAAAATGTAATATAAAACTTAGACAATTATTGAATAGTACAACTTTCTTGATATTTACTCAAATGGGAATGAATTTAAGGCGTAGAACCGATTACTGTATTGGCGGACTAATATTCCAGCTAGTGAGCAAGCGAAAACATGTTGAGAGGAAGTCGTAGGGAATTCGTTAACCAAATTTTTTTTGTTAACCGAATTGAATATTCTTATGGAAGGTAATTCGTTAACCGAAATTTCGTTAACCGAGGGACCACTGTACAAATAAAGGTAAGGTTTTAAGACAACAGTAAGGGAATGGAGCATACTGCACTAGGGAAGCATGTGTACTATTGCTATAGATTGGCCTAGGCACCAGGGACATAGTCAGAGATACAGTGGTCCCTCGGTTAACGAGCACAATCCGTTCCAGCAGGTTGCTCGTAAACCGAAAAACTCGTTAACCGAAACCATTGTTTCAATGGGTTTTTGGGTAATTGGTTCCAGCTCACCGAAAATTGCCTAAATTCAACAAAAAAGGTAGAAAAGTACACTTACTTTGAGGTGTGTATGTAGAAGGCTCCTGGATGATGATGATGATGATGATGATGATGATGATGATGATGATGATGGGAATTAGAATGGGGGTGGAGGAGAAGGAAGAAGAGAAGGCATTCGGGTGGAAGAGAAGTCACCCCATGGCGCCATTTCACCCATAAAATTTTAGCTCTCTTGGTGTAATTCAAGATTATTTTCTTTAAATCAACACTGCACTGCATTATATATTGTCAATATGTAAAATATATTTCAAAATGACCAATAATTTGCTTGGAAACACAGAAAAAAAGCGTTTAGTTGAAGAGAGTCTCAAGCAAGATGTTACCTCCTCTGAAAACAGAGAGACTAACGCCTGTCTGGTGTGTTAACAGGCTGGATGGCACCCCAGAAACTAGTTTCTTTACCTTCAATTATGTTCAATACTTATTAAAATGACTAAAAAAGTTAATATTAAACTTTTAAAATTATTGAATAGTATAAACTTCTTGATATTTACTATAATAGTAAGGAATTTAAGGCCTTAAACCGATTACTGTATTGGCGGACTAATACTACAGCTGGTGGACCGCCAAATGCAAGCGAAAACATGTTGTAGTCGGCTCGTAAAAAACTCGTTAATCGAGGGATTGCTCGTTAACCGAAGTTAAGAATCTTATGGAAGTTAAATCGTTAACCGAAATCTCGTTAAGCGAGGCGCTCGTTAACCGAGGGACCACTGTACAGTTGACACATTTTAAAGGCATACTGCTGTCTACAGAAGAGCACCGATTTAATTTGCAAGAAGAATTTCCCCGTTTAATGTAAGGTTTCTCTTTCAGGAATATGCTGCAGTGAGGATGGATCACTATTTTGAAGACAAAGCAAAACTTAGAGTGGACCACATCAATAAACGTAAGTCTGAGGCAATTACAGATGAAATGTAGAAGAAAAATGTAATATTAATCAAAGATATTCATGTTGGTATGACTTTCAGTATTCTTCCTGTGAATAATGTTTATAAAATTTTAATATTAAGTTTTCTTAACTATGATAAGGATGGTGCTAAAACTAGTTATCATAAAATGTGGGAATTTGTAACACTTAACATTATGGAAAAATCAACTCACCTTGAAAATGGGAATCGGCATTTGACTGCAGATATATAATTTGTTCCACTGAAGTACAGAATGATGTATTACAAGTGCCTGTTAAGTAATAGTCTCGTTTTTCTCATTGTTACCTTAGGCATCTAATAATTGACTCTACATTATTTAGTTAATATTCTTTTTGTTTATACTAAGTCTATATACTGTAAATGATAACAAAAGAGATGAGCTGTATGTGGCAGTAACAGATGACTTTGATGTAATTTTAGTTGTCAGTGTATATATTAGCTGATATATTTTATATTACATGTTCATTTTTGTAAGTTTCACATATTCAATAGTATGGTGTAATTATGGTATTTTCCTACTACTCAAGGACTGGTACAAGAAGTACTTTACAGGTAGTATATTTTGACAATCTTGTCTGAAGGTATGTCAGTGATGTGAGATTTGTGCTGTGATGTACACTCATGTTCTGTGATGTAATGTAATGTACTGTGCTTGTTATTAACTTTTTATGGTATAAGGACCACTTGTCATTTTTTATTGACCTGCAGATTACATATACCATTAAGTGGTTGTGTAAGCTGAAGGGTTTTAACATGAACACTATCATTCATCTTGCTCATGCATTATTAAAGGGACCCATTAATGTAGTTGGGTACAATATATTTATATGGATGGGATTTACTTGAAAGAAGTATTGTACAGAATGAAAACCTGTGCTGTGCAAGCAATCAACAGAACCAGGGATATATTAGTTTTATCTCATCTTACTATGGAGATTGTTCCCAGGAGTTTCAGTGCTATTAAATGTAAAGTCACTTGTTGTGATGAGTTTTCTTATTATGTTAGTACAGTACAGTACAGTACATAAATAAATTATTATGTTAGTACAGTACAGTACAGTACATAACTTATTATGTTAGTACAGTACAGTACAGTACATAAATAACTTATTATGTTAGTACAGTGCAGTACATAAATAACTTATTTTGTTAGTACAGTACAAAGATAAGTTATTATGTTGGTGTACATAAATTTAGGTTTGTATTGTATTTCATCTTAGTAAGAATTCTTAACCAAACTATCTGTACTACATAATTAGAGTATAATTACTGCAGATTTTGATAAGATTGAGCCATTTTAAGAAAATTTTCAACCTTTGGCCATCTAACTAAATATAAGCACTCACCTTACAGACATATGTTTATACAGTCATAAAACATTTAATAAATTGTAAAAGAGAACCCAGTTACTAATTGGCAAAACTGTTACCTTATCTGTTTTCACCACGCACTGTAACAGTGTGTAGTAGTGGCCAAGTGGATACAGTATTCACCTCTTGTAGTCACTGGTTCATGACTGGAGCAGTCCTAGTCAACCCACCTGGGAAAGTGAAGATGGTAGAGTGCAGTGCCAGCCATACTGCTGCCTTCTATATTAAAGGCTTAGTATTTTAAATGCTGTATCTGCACTGCCCTCAACAAGCTGTCTTGCCTTTGGGACCCACTTTTCATTAAGATAGTAACTGATATCCTCTAGCACTTGAGGCACTTGTTACAATTTAAAAGAAATGTTTTAAAGCACCTATGCACTGAAAACTTTTTTTATATTTTCTTGATAAAAGGATTACAGGCAGACCTCAACATTCATGGACTTGACATCTGTGATTTCACCCATTCATGATGACCTAATATATACCATTTTAACATCTGTAGTAGCAATTTCAACAAGTTCCATTCCAGGGACTTTTTTAAGGAATTTTTACAAGTGGACCACTTAAAAAAAGGGCACATATATCTAAAAAGGGCAGACTCCAAGTACTATACCTGGCATTTATATTAAAAGATAGTTAGATAGCTGATAATTATATAAAAATCAAAGGAATTTAAGGAATGCAGTACAGTAGATGCAATAATAGTAATTTCTGTTAAGTAAAAGTAGTACCATACAATATTTGTTGAAAATATAAGAGCAAATAAGTACAAAACATTTTGTGGAATGTAGATGATAGAAGCATGTGGCAGTTATGTAATATTTCATACTAGAAAATAACTATCTTAAAATGAACCACCGGTGAAGAATTTGACAGCAAATTTTCTTGTTTGATAGGCTTCTGTTGGCTCTCTATATCTGCATTCTCTCTTCTTCAGAAATTCTGCCACTGAAAATCATGGATCGTATTCTGCTATGCCACAACTGTTGAGTGCCACAATTAAGCGTGCTTTCATTGTAGATTCTTTCATGTTTGATCGTCTGTCATCATATATAGTGTTGTGATGTGAAACTATCTGCTCTGTTTGCATACTGTGTGGAAACAGAGATAGTATTGCTGCAAGGGTCTTTTGTATGGTTCTTACTGCTGCACTAGCTGGTAAAAGTCTCTTCAGTGTGTTTGACAGACTTGCACCAGAATCACTCCCTGGAGGAAGGGGTGTTTCCAAGATGCTAGAAATATCACTCCATGCTTCACCGACCTGTTCTGCAAAGTCACATTTGAGACAATGTGAGAAGGACCTAGGTGTGTATGTTGACTATGAGCTGAAGTTGTCAGGCCATTGCGAGAAGAAGGTAAATCAGGCAAATAAATTATTGGGTCTTATGAGAAGGTCATTCAGATATCTAGACGGTCCATCCCTCGTAACGATCTTCAAGAGTGAAGTGCTTCCCCATCTGGAGTACTGTCACCCCGTCTGGTCCCCGAGATATGCTAGGGACTGTCAGTTGGTTGAAAATATTCAAAGGAGGGCCACCAGACTGATGCCTGCACTTCGACACCTCCGCTACCCTGAGAGATTGGAGTGCCTGAACTTGCCTAGCTTAATACAGATGGGCAAGGGGTGACCTAATTGAGGTGTATAAGCATCTCAAGGGGCACTACTCAGTCGAGTGTCCTTACTTGGAGCTGGCGGACGCTCGCCCCACAAAGGGTCACAGCTCAAGATTGAAGAAGCAGCAGGTCCAGAAAACTGTGAGGGCAAATTTTTTCGGAGTGAGAGTTGTGAATTCCTGGAACAATCTACCAAAAAGTGTTCTGACGGCACCGAGTGTGAGTTCTTTCAAGACAAGACTTAACCCACACTGGAGCAGGTTCAGGTACATTCAGGAGCCGGTGCAAGCCCAGTACTTGCCAACAGTGCATAACAGAGACGTGACCGATCGCCCAAGCGGCAACGAGCCAATCAGTGGTGAAAAGGATAAAAGTAATTAACCACCCCCAGATTCTCAGGAAAAAAGTCCAATTGCGAGTGTAGGAGGTGGACTTTCAGGGACATCCTGCCTCCTAAGTTTTTGTAGTTTTTAAGAGTTCCTCTACAAGTTGGCAATAGTTTTCTTGCTTCCAAGAAACCCCTTGACTACAGATGTGAAGTATTTCCATGCAGCTAGCTCATTTTTATTCAGTTTGTTTTCAAAGGCATCATCACGAAGTAACTTTCTTATGTGGGCCAACAAAGATACCCTCTTTGACTTTAGTGTCACTGAGCTGTGAGAATTTTCCCCTCAAGTACACAAACCCATCACCTTGTTTGTCCATAGCCTTCACAGAATTCTTCATTAGTCCCAGCTTGATGTGTAAAGGAGGTAAAAGTACATCGTTTGGGTCTACCAAGGGAGTATATTTAACATTGCTTTTTCCTGGAACAAACTCTTCTCTCTTTGGCCAGTCCTTTGTGTTATAGTATTTGTCTGTTGCTCTGCTGTCCTAAAAACACAGAAAACAGCATTATTTCATGAACCCTCCTTGAAGGCCGAGTAGAAGGGCTATAACCTTCAAATCTTTGCAGATCTACCATCTATTGTATACTCCTTGTATTTAATAGTGCTCAGTATTTCCTTCAAACCTTCAGAATGTGCTACTGGAACTAAGGGCTTCTGGTTCACATTATGCAACAATACTGCTTTCAAACTAAACTTGAAGGAATCTATGAAAAGCCGCCATTCCTTTGGGTCATGTTTTTCTCCCAACTCGAACATGAGTCCATTTACATCAGTACACACACAGGGAATCCTGCATACTGTAGAATGTAGATTATGTAATATATAGAATGTAGATTATGTAATATTTCTTTTCCTAAAAACAGAAATTCTTGCCTGTTTCGCTAGAAAGTTCCATTCCTGCAGTCTTGATGTTAATTGTTCCACCTGCTGTTTTGACAGACGGAGATCACGTACAAGATCATTAATGTAACCGCCATCCGGGCGGTTATAGGATTTAATGAAACTTGTGGCTTTGAACTCGAATATTATAATTTGATCAAACCTGTTGGATACAATTCATTTCGTATTTAAACTAAATCATACATGACAATCATAGCTATGTAATTAGTCTAATCTTAACACTTATAATGAGTACTTAATTTGCCATATTTTATGTTGTCACAATGATAAACGATGCAATGGACACAGTCTACCTGTGTACACAATAAGTACCAGTTAAACTTACGTGTTGAAAGTCTCAAGAGAAACCAGGTTAGGTGTTGCCTCTGTGGCCTGAATAGCTACAGTGCCGATACACCCTGCCGCCTCCCCAACCCTCTCTCGATGGGTGAGGGCTGCTGAGTCAGGTGATTATACACAAACAAGCTCCCTTAATACCACCCAACACCTCACCTCCTCTAGGTCTCTCATCTTCAACCATCTCAACACACTACATACAGTGAGTTCTGCTATAACGCGTGTTTTGATAACGCGAATTTGCTCTAACGCGATTTATGAATTAGGAACGATATTTGTATAACGCGAACGCTTGTTTGCTATAACGCGATTTTTGCTTACTATTTCTCCAATTTTGTGGTACAGTGGGGTGTGCTATAACGAATCTAATTGGTTCTAGAACCTTGTTCGTTATAGCATTCGTTTGTTATAGGATTAATCCGTTCCAGGCCCCCAAATACAACCACTTAACACTGAAAAATATAATATAAAATTGTAAAAATTGTAAAAAAGTGCATAAATATGCATCTAAACCCCTGAAATAAAGAATATCATTAATATTTGTAATAATAAAACAATAAATTAGAAAAAAAAAATTAAATTATGTTCGTTGTAGGAGTTTCGTTCGTTATAGCATTCTCAATTTTATAGGTAAAACCGTTCGTTATAGGAATATTCGTAGTAGGATCCGTTCGTTATAGCATACCCCACTGTATTAACTGTGAATATAGTAAAGAAGAATATCAACAAGAAGCGTTCTGGTGATAGAATTCCCGGTGATGATCGTAAAAGAAAGGATATAACACTTGAAGAGAAGCTCGATTTTATCAACCTCAAAATCACCCTTCTCCCCCATCAAGTAAAGTGTTACATTTACTGTATGATTTCATTATTAGATATGTATGTAACATTTATTTAGACTGTGCTATCCTTTGTGTTAGGCTAACTACTAAATTTTTTCGATTTCGAGTAATCTGCACCTAACCCTATTTTCTCCCTAAGCCCTGTTATTTCTATTACGCGATTTTCTATAACACGATACTTTACAAGAACACAATTATCGCGTTATAGCAGAACTACCTGTACTGTATCACGGGCAGGCACACCCAATAAACATGACATGACTTACAGCCTGACATAATGTTTGTTTATGTGTCATCCTACTCATTACTGCTTGCGGTAACAATTAAGTTCACTTTGTTCTATAAGATGTGGTTCATTGGAAGTCTGGTTAATGAGAGAAGGATCATGGGATGATTCTGGGATTTCTTCTTCAATTTCCTCATCCGAAGTTGAGAGCTCTTCCAAATTAGCCGGTGGTGTATGTATAAAGAGGTCTTCTCCGTGAGGAATAGGCCTTATTGCCGAAGGTACATTTGGATACTTAATTATGTATTTTTTCTTCTTGGAGAAGCCTTCAGTTTTGGTAAGGCAAAAGTAACAGTCATCAAAATGACTGGTAGGTTCATGCTAAACACTGGAACAGCAAAAGGCATGATCTTTTTCTTTCCTTTAATCCATTCAGTTAGGTTAACGTAGCAGCTTATCCAGCACACATGAGGTGCCCACTTTTTATCTTGATCACCCACATCTCACCCAAAATAGGAATGATATGCTTACTTCACGATTTTTGTTATGGAACGACACTGAGATTTGATGACAAACTGTCCACACACCTAGCAAAACTATTTGGTGAATTGACACAGCCTCAGCATTGTAATCTCTCCATTGTCCTGTCTTCATTAATTTCCACAACCTATCTGATAAAAAGACACATTAGTAAGAGCATTGTTGTCGGATCGCCCGTCGGCTG